TCCACTCAAACTTCTTCTGTTTACCTGATTCATCATTCTGGGCAACTGACCGCATAATCTTGAAAAACAGTAGGCACTTATCTGCTGACTTCGATATGAACCGATGAAGAGCTGCTACCCTTCCAATCAACCTCTGTATGTCCTTCACTGACTTTGGCGGTTCCATCTCGGCAATTGCTCTAATCTTCTCTGGGTTGACCTCAATCCCTCTCCGGGAAACCATAAAACCCAGGAATTTTCCAGATTCCACACCAAAGATGCATTTGGCTGGGTTTAACCTCATTCTATTCTGTCTGAGATTGTTGAATGTCTCCTCAAGATCAGTTAAGTGATCGTCGACTTTCAAACTCTTCACCACTATATCGTCAACATAAACTTCCAGATTCCGTCCTATCTGAGCTCGGAACACGATGGTGACCATCTTTTGGTAAGTGGCACCTGCATTCTTCAAGCCGAAGGGCATCATTACGTAGCAATAGATCTCATCACCAGCATAAAACGAGGTTTTTTCTTCATCCTCAGGAGCCATTGGGACCTGGTGGTATCCTGAGTATGCATCCAAAAGACTTAATCTCTCATTTCCCGAAGCTGCCTTAACCAGCTTATCAATGTTTGGCATAGGATAACAGTCCTTTGGACATGCATCATTGAGGTTAGTGTAATCAATGCACATCCGCCATTTACTGTTTGCTTTTTTCACCAACACCGGATTGGCGACCCACTCACAATAATCTACCCTTCTGACAAAGTCGGCTTGTAGGAGTTTCTCGACTTCTTCTTTAATAACCTTTAACCTCTCCCCCCCGAAGAGGCGTCGCTTCTAGGCTACTGGTTTCTTGAGGGGATTGGTGCTGAGTTTATGATGAAAAACTGAAGTGGGAATCCCCGGCATATCTGCTGAAGTCCATGCAAAAACATCTTTATTGGCCCGAAGAAAAGCTATTAGCTCTGCTCTTTCCCCCTGGTTCAATTTAGTCCCAATTTGCGTTTTTCGGCTCGAATCTTTGTCATCAATCTGTACTTCCTCCACATCTTCGACTGGAGCAGCCTTGGTTTCATCTTCTGGTCGGTTATCTACGATTTCTACACCCATAACTTGCTGATCATCAGGAATCTGTTTGGGACGAGTCTCAGGTGTCTAAGCCTTGCCCTTCTGAGGTTGGGTTACCGAGGTGATATAGCAATGCCGAGCCACCTCCTGGTTGCCTCGCAGCGTTGCTATTCCCGTAGGAGTTGGGAACTTCATGCATAGATGAGATTGGGAAACCACAGCTCGAATCTCAGTCAGTGTAGGTCGGCCAATAACAGCGTTGAAAGAGGACGCCATCTTGACCACTAAAAACCTCACGGAAGGGGTCACATAACTTCAGCCACTTCCAAATGCAACATTCATGGTGAGGACTCCTTTAACTGAAACTGGTTGGTTGTTGAACCCGTAGATGGGACCATCATACCGTTGTAACAGAGCGGGATCTAACCCAAGACTCTCAAAACAATGGAAGTACATGATGTCTGGTGCACTCCCTGTGTCAACAAGGACACGCTGTACTTCACAATTGTTGATCGTGACAGAAGTGACTAGAGGATCATTGTGAGGTGTGACAACTGTTTCGAGATCAGTAGATGTGAAAGTGATGGGTTGATTCTTCCACTCAGCATCGTCAAATTTTCGCTTCTGAGCTCGGTTCTGGTGCTTAACCTCTCTGACATACAGCTTTCGCTGCTTAGAGCTCAGTCCACCGGCTTCCAGACCTCCCGTAATCATGTGTATGACTCTAGTTGGTGGTGGGAGTGGGGGTGGGGCTTGCTGATATCCCACACCTTGTCTGTTTGGGGGATTGCGGATTGCTTGATGCTGTGGCCCTTGTTCTCTGACAAACCTTGGCTGTTCCACTCTCTGGATGTACTCATTCAACATTCCCTTCTGTGCCAGACTTTCCAGTTCGGACCTCAGACTATTACATTGCTCTATTGTATGACCGTGATCCTGATGAAAATCACAGTACCTAGTATGGTCTCTGGTAGCAGCAGCAGTTCTCATTGGACTCGGACATCTTAAGTCCATCTTATTCTTAATCTGCATAAAGATTTGTGACCTCGGTAAATTAAAAGGAGTCCAATTACCTGGAGGTTTACCTGCAGGTTGTTGCGAAGGTGCGAAGTCCGGCCTTCCGAGTCTCAGGGTGGAAGTCGACATCAAACCTCGGTTCTGTGGTGTCTTCATCCGTTTCCTGTTCGGATACTCATCTCTCCAGTCTGGGTGTTGATTCTTAACAGGGGTGATGTTCTGCGATAGGGCATATTCCTCAGCAATTATGAATTTCAATGATCTATCATTTACCTCACTGAAGGTGGTGGCAGGATGTTTAAGCAGACTATCTCTGAATCTTTCATGGCCGAGACCCGAGATCACAGCTGTAATTCCCACAGCTTGGTCGAAAGAGTTAACCTCCAGCACAGCATCATTGAATCTGCTCATAAAATTCTTCAAAGACTCTCCGTCCCTCTGCTTAACCCGCATCAGCTCAAAAGTGGTTTTCCTGATCAACCTTCTACTGGAAAACTTTGTGGCAAAAGCAGATGCCAGTTCTATGTAAGAGTTGATTGACCTCAGAGGTAGATTGTAGTACCAGGTTCGAGCATTACCTCGGAGGGTAGAGGAAAAGATTTTGCACATTAACGCATCAGAGGCGTTCTGGGCCTGCATGCAAGAGTAGAAAGCATGTAGATGATCATCGGGGTCCTTCGTGCCATCATAAGTTTCAAGCTGTGGTATTCTGAAGCCAGTGGGATAAGGTTCCAGTATAATATTGGTGTTGAGAGGGTGAGGTACGGAGTCAGCAGCAGGGTGTGGAGGTGGGACACCTTGCTGTTCGACTACTAGCTTTTCTAAGCTATCTAAACGTCGAGTGACATCATCACGAGGGGGTTGCATAACTGGTGCGATGTGAGATTGGCCTTGAGATTCACTAACGGTAGGAGCATGTTGAACTGGGTCAGGATTTTGTGGTGGGGCTGGAGGCTGTGGAGCAGGATTAAGTAGGTTGATGAGTGGATCACCAGGATTGTTTCGGGCTAATAACTGAGCCAGCACTAGTTGAAAAACACCAAACTGTTGTTGCATGGCAGCGAGCTGAGTTGCAACTACGTCTTGGTTAGCAGTAGAGGCTGAATTGCTAACCTAATTGTGTGGTTGATTTTCGTCTTCTCCTTCTGCATGATCAACAGGAGGGAATGTATTTGGGATTGGGGGTGGAGGATGAGGTGGAAGGTTGCTGGGGACCTGACCTCGTCCAAGAGGTTGAGACGAGTTTCCACCTCGGGCTGACCTAGTTTTAACCATGATAAGAGCAACAAAGGAGCCCTTAGTTCAGTTTCCCACAGACGGCGCCAGAATGTAACTGCACCAAACCGGAAGTCTTTCTTCAGTCCGTATCTGCACTCTAGATTGACCCTCAAAGTCCCGAGGTGGATCCTCGGGGTAGACACTCCGATGCTTAAGTCAGCAATAATCGGGGTTACCTTTGAAGCGGAGAAACAAGGAACTTAGGGTTGGTTTCAATTTTCTTTTGGCGTGGCCCTTGAGGGGTATTTATATGTTCCGATAAAGAATCCACGCGGCATGCCAATCATGATGCCAAGCAAGATATCCGGGATCCGATGTGTATCTTTAGGCAGTTATTTCGGGACCGGGAGATTGAGCCAAGCAAGATATTCGAGATTTGATATGTATCTCCCAACAGTTATTTCAGGATTGAGATATATTTAGATACAAAGATATCCATCGTAACAGCTGTGTAGCTGTTCGAGCGGGAAGCTTTGGACTTATCCTTACATAGGGCTTAGATGAGTTTTACTGTTGGAAATACTGGATTTTTCTCAAAAAGATTGTCTCGAATTTCCTTATAGGCTGCTATGTTTTCTCGATGTGTCAACCTACCAGAATTGCCAAGTTAGGTAGGAGTCCCAAATCTCTGTCGTCCCAGATGGGTCTCAAGAAATTCGCTTACTGCTTGGTTTCTTGCCAATTCAACGACACACCAATCGGCAGCACTCTGGCGTTTGGAAATTGGGTCCAGCTCCAATGATGAGGATGAGCAAAGACGTGCAGAGGGAGGAGGTACGGAAGGACGATGAGAGTGTAATAGTTGTGGACCCTACTCACAAAACACATTTTTAATGTCCATATCCAAGTTAGCGAAAATTGCTTTAATTAATTATCTGCCACATCGGAAAAAATGAGCTGGCAGTAAAATGATGACCACGTCATTTAAAGAGTGCCACATAAGCGATGAACCAACGGAAGACAACGAGCACGTGCGAGTCATGTGACATCTCAGTTAAATTTTGGGTTTTTCACTCATTTTTGAAAACTGTAGGGTATTGTCTGGGAAAAAAATATTTAAGGGTATTGACCATAAAAATAAATAATATAAAGGGTGTAAATAAGATATTTGGTCAATTTTTTTACAAATTAAATGAAGAATGACTCTTTTTTCTTTTTTTTTAACGGAGAATGAAATATTTTTCTAAAATTATTTCAGAACCTATGATTCATTTGAAATATTTATGTTAAGTAACTTACAATACATTTAGGGGCAAAGTAACTAAGAACAAGAAAACAGCTATATGTAACCATTAAGATTTAGCTAACAGTATATTTAAGTTTGAAGAAAATGAAAGGCAAGAAAGAGGAGAGAAAGGAAATGGAAGGATAAGTTGATGAATTAAAAGAACAAAATAA